GAAACCACCATTTATGCAAGCAATCTGGAGATCTCACCCGGCTCCAGTTACAGAAAATTAAAATATTGCTTCCTATGTAAACACTGTGCATAGGATGGCATGGCCACTGGTTTTAAATAGGGCCACAGTTTATTTATTTATTATTTCAATTTATATCCCGCCCTTCCCATGAATGGGCTCAGGGCGGTTCATAGCAATAACTACAAATGATCTAAATTAATACAATAAATAATACAATAAAACCAGTTTAAAATTTAAAGTAATTAAAATATTTAAAGTGTGCAGTGCAATGCAATTAATTCCAGTCACTACTGCCAGGAAAAATAAGTGGGCCAATGCCAAGCCATGATGGTCTCATGTAGCAGCAGTAGTGTAAGACACATTTAGGAGTGTGGTAAAAAGGTAAAGGTTCCCTTGCTCGAAAGCCAGTAGAATCCGACTCTAGGGTTGTGGTGCTCCTCTCCGTTTCAAAGCCGAAGAGCCAGCGCTGTCCGAAGACGTTTCCGTGGTCATGTGGCCGGCATGACTAAACACCAAGGCGCACAGAACGCTGTTACCTTCCCACCGAAGTGGTACCTATTTATCTACTTGCAATTTCTTGCTTTCGAACTGCTAGGTTGGCAGGAAGGAGTGCGGTACAACCTTTTAAATTGTTACCTGTTACCAGACCCATTCAACCTAAAATAGTTTACTGGCCCCAATAGTTCATAGTAGTATTTAGTAGTATTGTATAGTATTTAGGATGCTCAGTTAATACTTTGAGCTTGGCTTTAAACAAGCTTATTTCTTGCTAAAGGCTGACCAAATAAAATCCTTTGAATGCGAAGTATTGGGACCATTTATAGCCTGCATATCCAAAAGCAAGTCTTGCAATACCGGCAAATAAGCACAGTCATTTTGAAAGAAGAGGAGCATGTCTAAATGTTAGCATTCATCGCAGATAAGACCTTCAGTGGAAGAGTTTGGTAGGATACAAGCTAAGCATTTCTGGAAAGAGCAATATAAAATCAAAGGTGTCAAGATTCCTTAACAGCCTAGTTTTATTTCAGTGAGGACTGGGAAATTTCTGGGTAGATAATTGCTTGGACAAGGCAAGAATCTAACAGGGCAAACCTTAACAAAGCTACACCCTTCTAAGCCTATTGACTTTAAAAGGCGTAACTTTGCTTAGGACTGTATTTTAAATGCTTCACTGCTAGAAAATACCTTGTCACCACTACTTCTGCATTTCCATCCAAAAACCACATCAACAACAATAAAATACCTGCCTCGCAATGTTAAATTCAGTAGTCACAATGGTACAAGAAGAAACTATCCATGTCTAAAGAGCATAAGGGGAGGGGAGATTATCAGTCCCCTGGAATAGCACACAGTGAACACACTTACGTTTCCCCCCTATACCTATATACAAAGAAACAGGTTACAGTCAGATTAGCTAGCCAACACATTTTATAATGATCAATGATCTATTTTATGTACCCAATTCTATCCACACACACCCCTACATTAATGATCACATTGTAACCATCTGTGGTTTGATGCTTCCTGCCTTGCATGCTGCAAGTAGCACTCAAAATAGACTGACGGGAGAAAAAACACTACACAGCCCCAGCATTCCTTCTCTGGGCTCAGCTTCACTCCCATTAGAAGAAGGAATCCTCCTCCCTGGTTATCTGTTACAGAAAACTATTACGCCCTGACAAACCAAGTGAGAGAGTCATTAAGTGCTTGTTGAACAACTGACTAATCTGTTAAAGACTATTTTAGTGTCTTTAAAAGGAAAAAAAAGGCTTTGATAAAAAGATTTCACAACAAAAGCATCTGGTGGTTGTACCTGACATCCACACTTGGACCTCCTATTAAATACCACTAAGTTTACTTCTCAGTAAATATGCTTATACTGCAGAATTATCGGTGTGTTCACTTCAACTACTTGAATTTTAATGCTGAAAATTGCAAAAATCTAATTCATTACAGGGTAAAGCATGTTCTTTATTTAGATAAAATTCCATATCAGAGGCTCCCTTCAAAACTTCTGTTTCAATACATCTGGGAAGTCCTAGTGCAGCAAATAGAGTGTTAAATTCTTGCAAATGAAGAGCTTCCCAGACCAAATTGCTTTTCATTGTATGTTTCTTATAAATGTGAGCACAGGCTGTTTTAGCTTCCTTTATTCTGAAGATACCTGCACACATTCAACAAGACTAGGAATTCCCTTGTGCACATTTTTATATCAAATTCTTAATATATAAGTCATGAAAAACAGCATTAAATGTTTGTAATGAATAATGAACTGCTGTTGATTCACAGTTAAAAAAAATTATGGAATTGCTAGCCTAGACCCGTGCTTCCGATTTAAAGTCTTGTATATATGTTATACAAGCTGTGGGTTGTTTTCTGTTCCACACTCTTCTAAGTATAACTACTAAAACATTTTACCAAACAAAGTTAACTAAACAGCATCTCAAACTTTGGTTTGCATGCCACTATAGCTATCAGATAAATCCACAGATCATGTAAACGGAAACACAGATGTGCTATGAACAGGTAAAATGCAAGCCATGGACTGAAAACTATACTGCCTGAAAAATTAGCCTAGAAACAGATACATCTCAACAATTTAAACCAACTATTTATTTTTTTTCATTTTTAAAAACTGTATCTTGGAAAGCCCTTCTAATCATGAAGCAATTGTCTGAAAAATAACATTTGCCAAGTGTAAATATATAAGGCAAGCAGCTGGGGGGATAGCCAATGCTTAGCAGCTGTTATCATAAAATATGTCAATGCTAGTCGATATTCCAAAGGATTTTTCCCCTTAAATACTTCACAGAACATTTCTGATGCCTGGCTAATCAAATACATTTTCCAATCTGAACTGGCTTTGCCAATGACAATTATTAAAAGTCGGAGGTGTTCATTTTTTAAAAAAGACAGAAAATATAATTTGGAACCAGCTATATGCATTTTGCTTGCCTTCAATTCGGGCTTGATATTAACCTCTCTCTCCTGGCTACTACCTTTGCCTTCTTTATTTTAAAAATATCTCAGATTTATCTTTGTTCCTACTTTGTACATGAACACACACACAAAAAAATCAACCTAGTTATTAACAGAACCATCTAGCCGCACTTGTTACTTTTGTGTGTATGTTTCTCTTTCGTTTTAAAAGCTATCTTCCAACCATCCTACTGGCTTCCCTTCCAACTCATTCCTCCCTCTTCTGAACAAAGCAATATTCTTACAAATACCGTGCTAAAGAAAAGCACATCCACTAGAATATTTCAGTTTGGTTGTGTAGGGCACTGTGCACCCTGCATCTTGGCTTGTGAATGCACAAGCACACCTTCCTAGTTCCCCATCTAGTCACCTCAATCCTGACTCCCTTTGTTAGGACAGATGCTCGTAAAGGCATAATGATCTTTAGCCCAGCTTTGACACCTCTCTATTCTGTTCCATTTTTCTTTGCAGCAGATGACCAGAAAAAGTTTTAGGCGATCCATAGCCAACGACAGGACGCATGGATCCACTGGCAAATAAAACACAGAAGCCACCCATACCCTTGGCAGAATTTAACAGAAGTGAGCATTTGATTTAAGGGGAAGGTTATCGCTTTTGCCTCAAAAAAATAAAATAAATAGAAGGTAGAAGCACAGAAACATCAAATCCTTATTCCAGTCTCAAGAAAATGGGAACATGACACCCACCAGCTCAAGTGAGGCTTCTTTAACAAGCTCCTTTGCATAGCTCCCTCAACTTTCTCCCTCCAACCATTTGACAACACCTAGGGAAACCCAGGGAACTGGTGCCAATTATAATAGCCAGGCAGTTAATTTGGCAAAGTACTAATGAATTCTTCTAGCCACACCAACTGAACCGAGGCAGGAGATTGTACACTCTCTCCCAGAGACACAGGTGAATAGCACGTCTCTTCTTTTTCTGCATAAAATGTGTGACAGTGACTCATTCACATGAAGATGCTTCCTGAGAGTGGCGCATAGTTTTACAGAACACGGCACTCTAAAGCAAACCAAGATTATTCATCGAATGTGTTGCTTTAACTGCCTCTCACAGCTCCTGGCCAAGCCTAAAAACAGTAAGCTATTTATTTTTCTCTTTTCTGCCTTCCTTCCACGAGGTGAACCTTGTCCTGCTTTGGGCAAGCTTCATGCTAATAACTGTCTGCTGCTTTCCAAATGCTCACCAGTTTTTTGATGCAGAAGGAGACAGCAAGCGACATTCTCCAGTGCTTTAAAATGTGCATCACCTAACCACACAGTGATTCTTTTGCTGTTTTCCTTAAGACTCAAATGTAACATTCTGCTATTTTTTACCTCAGTTTTTTTTTTAAAAAAGCTGATTTTTTTTTTGCACATGCGTGGATGCACACAAAACCACACACGCACATAAAACAAGCCCTGGGAACTGTCAAAACATGCATGCTGTATACTGGACAGCATCCAGGTTGCAATGAGCAGAGAAATTCTGCCATCCAACATTTACAGCTGCGACTCTGGGGGAGCCTGTGTCAAGAATCTTTTTTAGGAGACACACAAGTTTTCCCCCCTCCCCTAAAAAAAAATCCTTTAAAAAATAAAAATGCAGTTTGTCAAAAAATAGCCTTTCAAGTCACTCCCGGAGGATGTCACTGAAAACTTTCCTCCTAGTAGGGCCGAGGCTGCCAGGGAGGGTCTATTTCGAGATGCTGCTGCCAGCAAGAATCGCTTCAGCTTCCCAATCGCGGGATCGGGTTGCAACAGGAAGGCAGCCAGAGGCTCTTTGGTAAAAATCAAATACAAGCGAACAATCCAATCCACCCCCTATTATTTTTGACGACGGAGATGATGCCTCCCGCTTGCTGCGGCGGCGGCCAGCTTTCCCGGAGCCGCCCGCCGCTCGTCCGCCTCCTCCAGCCCTGCTCCTCCTCCTCCCTCCCCCGCGGAGATCTCCTCCGGCCCGCCCGGCCGCAGCCCGGCGCCGGACTCCCAGGTGGGACCTACGTGTTGGGCGACGGGAAGGGTCCTTCGGCGGACAGGTTGGTCACCAGGGACTGGAAAAGTGTCAGGCTCAAGAAGAGCAGCCAGCCAGCAGCCATCTTCCCGCTCGAAGATCGATGCCCTCGCTTGGCCCGCGAGCACCGGAGGAAACGAGCCACCACCGAGGCACGGCGCAACCAAGTTGGGGCGGGAGAGCCACGCCAAGCTCTGCCGGCAGGCAGGCCTACCCCGCAGGAAAGGGGCGCAGCGGAGCAGCCTCTCTGCCGGGTGAAGCCACAGGCGGCGGCAACGCGGGAGGGGGCCTGGCGGCGAGGAGCGAGCAAGATCGCGGGGGTGCGGCTACTCCGCCCGCTGCTCCCGCTTCGTCTACTCCACCGCCATCAGGGCTACTTTTTTAAGGGAGCTCCGCTGGG